TTTGAATTGGACTGAATTGTGTGGACTGAAGGAGGATGTAATTTTTTGGGAAAAAAGACGACAATGACTAACTTGCAGGAGTGTCAAATTATTGAAAACTACTTCCATGACGCATTGTTAAAATTATTTGTAGGTTATCGAGGTTTGCTGTAGAATTGCATGCACGAGACAATAGCTCATCATTGCACTGCATACATCCTGAAGAACCCTTCAGCAGCAAGCTGCACAAAATAAAGTTACTTCGATTCAATCAGGCCAGAATAAGAAAAAAAAGTGTTAAGTAGGTATTATAGCTGAAGATACGCCATGAGGTGACAACTTTGTTGTTCGATTCTCTGTCAAGTGCGAGCACGGGGATTTTCCAGTAATGCTTTAGCACTGCCTCTGGCGTTCAGGAGCAAAAGGAAATAGAACAGTCAATATGGTGTCTAAAATTTAAGTCACTTAAAATTAACTTGTGTATTAAACTTGTATAAAATCACAGTTGTTATACTGATATCTGGAGAAAAACTGTACTCTTCGTGTGATATTTATTAACTATATTAAATTGTATAAATAGACTATTACACAGTGAAAATGTGCACCCAAACAAGTCTAAACTACAAGACTACATCACGTATGCAAGCACTCTCTGGGTGACGGATATACTCGATAATGTCAAATCGGCAGCATATCGTTAAAATAAACAAATGAGATATATTGCACAAACCTAGGGGACAAATATAGTTCTGACACATCATCTGGGTACCACCAGCCCTGCATCATTGTAAGACAAATGAACTGCAAAGGCACCTTAAAAACCTCCAATCCAACAAAACCTCTGCCCCTTTGTGTACTAAGCCTGTGTTTATTTAATATTTTGTCAAAACAGATAATTTACCAAAAAGAGTATCCTACTTTCTTTCAGCTCCTTTTCACATTTTTTACTACCGTTCAAAACTTTAGGGTTTAGAGAAATTAATAATTTTATTCGGCAAGGATGGACTACTTAATCAAAAAAGTTGGAGTAAAGACATTTATACTTTTACAATTTTTTTCCCTCAAATAAATGCAGTTCTTTTAAACTTTTTATTTAATCAAAGAAGAATCCTGAAAAAAGTCAACCGTTTTCAACATCGATAACAAGAAATGTACTCCAGCACAAAATAATTCTTTCAACAGGATTAAAAAAACCTTACAGTCCCCAAACTTAAACAGTTGTGTATACAATAATTCTGTAGATTTTCCCTCAAATCAGCGCAACACCAGATGTTATGTCCCTTTAATTAGCCTTTTTAAGGCAAAAGGCAAAGCAAACATCTTCACCAACTGAAGTTATTTACTTGAAATAACAAGCAAGAGGCAAATGATTTAACACACCAAAACACTGCTGCTGCATATTCCCATCCCGTTATACTGAGTCTAACCTATATTCAAACCACAGAGATTACTGGAACTATGGCTAAGACCATTTAAAAAAGCCCTTACCATCAGAAAGGGTCTTGACAGTTTGAGGAAGTTTGGCCGACTTCATCATCGCAGTAAAGGTGATGATCTCTGTCCGATCCAATCGACTGCAGCCAGTACAAAGGCCTTTTATTAAGAGGATCAGGTGCTTCTATTGAGCGGAAAGAGAGAGGAAGTTAGTTTATAAGAAAATGCTATGCTTATTCAAACAGACAGAATGTACACCATGTTCTGATCAAAAGGTTCATGTCTGACCTGAGAGACTGCACATGCTTCATCAGGATTCTCCAGACGCAGCAATGAGAATTCAATCAATACTTTACATGCTGCAGCTACTGACAGCAACTGATTTCTGGGAACTAGAATGTGACAGAAGAACTGTTATTAAATAGGAATATTGTGAATAGCCAGTTAAATCGGTATACGTCTACGTTCAGCTAAAACATATGATGTAGTCTACTTCGGCTAGAAATGAAGGAAATTATATTTTTAGAATAAAATATTGACATCTGACATACTTTGTCCACAAACAGTGGTGATGTAATGTGCAGATAGTGCCACAAAAGAGGAGTAGAATGGCTCATACTGTTTGTCATGGTGAAGAATCTCAGATTCACTATAAAAAAAGAAGAGAAAAACGGTAACAATCAATTAATTGCAGTTTACAACTCGTTTTACTTTCGTAATGTGACATTTCCAGGTAACACAAGGTATGTAAGGTATCAAATGTAGTTAAAAAGTGTTTAAGTTGCATACTAAATGATTCCTAAAATCTATTTTAATAATTGCTGTTTGTACCAGTAGTTTTAGTATTATTTATATTATTGCATTTAATAATAAGCTTTTTCATATATAATTTTTTTTTCCATTTTAGTAATGTTGTTTTGAGCTTGTCATTATTAGATTTTTTATATAATTATTATGCTATAATTATTTTTATATTTGTAATTTTACTATTTTTTATCATTTGATATATTTAATTATATTTCAGATTTAGTTTAACAAAATTATTTTTTTAAATGGTATGCCTTAAAGCGTTTGTATATACGTTTAATAGAATTGCATTGGGAATAGACTTTTATTTTTTAACAATACACACTCATGTCAGCAAACAATATAATATTAAAATATTAATGATTCAATCCAGAATGAATAGAGACATATGGGACAGTAACACAAATTGTTGCAGTTTGAATTTAAAAACTAAATTTAGACTCAATCTACGAACATAAACTGGTTTAGTCCAGTATAGATTGACAGCTAGTGCTACTTTCACTTTTGACTGGTTAAGTTGCACAAGCTCATGAACAGCGATAAATCAAAAAGACAACACGGTTAATGTTTTATAAATCAAATTCAACTCGGTGCGCTTACTGTTTATTTTAAACCTCAGACAGTGGTTTGGCTCGTAGTCAGATCAGTGTTTATAAAGCATTAACGTTAAATGACACACAAGGCAATGTGTTTATTTGCGTACACGGCACACCTAACACTTTTTCTGTAAAACGAAACTTTGATGACAGTAACGTAACACATATTTCCACCGAAACAAACAAGCCTTTGAAATTGACAACTAAACCTACAACAAACTCAAACAGACTTTCGACGTTTAATTTTTAACCAAACGAGGCTTACACAATTAGCGAACCATCAACAACACTTAGCACCAGCTGCTAAGTCATAGCTGGCTAGTTAGCAGGCACACCCCCATATGCATTAAATTGAAACGAAAAAAATAAAACTTTGTGTAAATGGGACTAATGTGGTTTCCACTGACTGATGAAGATTTACTTGCTTGACATTTTAAAGGGACGCTTATAAGTAGCACGTCTTGACAGTGGCTAGCAGGCTAACTAGCGTTGTTTGGGTTTAGTCGAGAGGGAGGCTCACAAGCTCATTCGGTGTCAATTAATTCACTTCTGACACAAATATAAAATCACTTTATTTAGGGTTGGATGTCAGTGGATTTAGGGTTCATTATAAGTAATCGACATTGTTAAAATATAATTCGGGCCGGTTATATGAACCAAAAAGAATGGATCCCCGGCCTGATGATGAAGCAGAATCTGATGCATCTGCTACTGTAAATGCACAGTAACACTCCAGCTGTGTCTCAAAGCCCAGCGAGCTGGTTACGTAGAAAGCATTTTAAGGAATCATTTGCGCGTTCAAAATCATTTTTGGCTTTAGAAACCATTTCAGACAGCAATTTGGGTCATTATATGCGCATTGGGAACGGCCCAAACCCTCTCATGATACTCAGAAATGCTGTCAAGGTAGTCAGCTGACTAGGGTTTGAGTCACAGCCTCGGTGCTGCCATAGCATCACAGCTAATGCGGAGTCACTCAACAGTTTATTTCAGCCCTGCACGGGGGAACTCAACAAACAAGCCCTCGTCTGACCTGTTTATGATGGATCCTATAAGCTGAGGTAGCTCTTTCGTTTCGAAAGCCGTGTAGGACGCTGATAAAAGTGGCCGTACGGCTGCGGTCCACTCAGGTTCTCCATCTCCTCCACTCGACGCCATCTTGAGATACTCTATTAGAATCCAAGAGCGGAAATGAGGTTAATCATCAGACGTCAAATAACAGGAACTGTCGTCAGAGATAAACATGAAACGTGTTTTTTCATGATGTGAGCACGTTGTGACCTTCTGAGAAAATAACAGGAGTGTGATGTCTTTCCAAACCTGTAATACTTACTTTTTCTGAAACTTAAAAGGAAATGCTGGGCAGAATGAGCCTCAGTCACTATTCAGTTTAATTATATGAGGGATAATAGATGCAATAGTCAGTGACTGAGGCTTTCTTTCTGCCTAACATCTCGTCATTTTTTTTTTACTTGTAGCCCTCAAACCGTAATCACTTTATAGCCCTTAATCCTGTAATTGTGGACAAATGTGGGCACAGAGGACTCAGGTGTGATCCTAATTTTTATTTATCATAAATGTTATATCACTGCCAATGTTATATATATATATATTTTTTTTTTTTTGGGGGGGGGGGGGTATTTTTGAATTTATTTACTAAATTTGCTAATTTTAACTACATTAAAATATCATTCCAATAAGTTCCTAGAGCTAAAACCTAAAGATGAAGTGACTTTGCTGTCACCTGGTGGCTTATTTTGGCTTATTTTAGAATGCTCGAAATTACAGTTTTTCCATTCATTTCTATGGGTGCCCATTTTTGACCCAAATACATGATTAAGGAGGGTTTTTTTTTCACCCACTTAACATTGTAGAATTGAGTAAAAAAAAATTGTGTCTGTTCAGGAGGCCAGCTTAGGAAAAGTAGCCAAGTCTTGTAACGCTCAGATCAAGGGAAGTATTTTTAAAAAAAAATAAATCAAAACTATTTTGCCCACATTTGTCCAGAATACGGTTAAGACAAAAATGTCTTATTCTTTGGTCCTTTCAATACAGGTTTGTGTCACGAGGGTGAGTAAACATTGACAGAATTACTTTTTTCCCCAGAATACCCACAATTGTAGCAGTTCTAACTTCAAGAAATACATTTTAAGAGTATAGAGTAGACAATTCAAGAGTCAACAATTAGGAAGGAGATCTTTTATTACCGATTGGGGAGAAAAGAACAAATATTTTATGCATGTTTAAAAAAGCATTAGGTTTATTACCAACTTAACTGAATATCTATCCTTTTGTTATAAATATTATTAAACTCATTTTTTCTGACATCATTAATTTGCAGCAGAGGGGATGCTTTCAAAATTATGTATATAAACAGGCCTATTTATGAAAATCAAAAGAGTAGAAACATTCTGCACAATAGTAAAATCACAAGGATTTGCATGTGTATGAGTCAAAATCAACGTATATGGCATAATAGGATCTTGCTCATAAATATATCAAGTAAGAACATGGCTCCAAACCATCCAGTGCATTTGACATACCATAAAATAACTACAAAAGACTATCCAAACTCCTATGCAGAAGCTTCTATCATTAATGTACAGGAGAAAATGATCCAAATGTCTTGACTCTTGAAATTTCATATTTCTCATGTGCACTAGTGTTTGCCCATTTAAATCATGTACATGAAATTAGGCAATATATTCTTTAACACCTCAACAGATCATTTTACTACTATTTTAATTTTAATCCAAATCACATTGTTCAATCTTTTCATTAACATAAATTAAAATAGCAGTCCCTTTGCAATAACCCTTCCTCAATATTAATTTTGAAAACACATCAACTCATCCTCCAGCCTCTCCGAAAAGCAGGCTCAGACTTACTTAATGAAATCTAAAACGAAAAAAAAAAAAAAAAAAAAAAAAAAAAAAAAAAGAGTTATTTTGTTATACTTGGCGAGTCTACCTTTAAAATCACATGAGCTGTTACCCCGGAAGGCACAATAAATTAACAAATTAGACAGTGTATTGTTCAATGCTGGGGGGGGGGGGTGGAGGGGGGATAAGACCTACATTACATCTCTCTGAAAAGGGAAAAAACTATCATGGCCATCTATGCACTTACACTCAAGACGCCACAAGATCCCCAAGACAGCTGGTTGCAAAAATACACCAAACTTTAATGATCTTGCAGTTTTGACACGGTCACCAGCTAGTCTCCTGCCATCAATGTGTCAACCACATTGCAGTGAGGGCGAGAGTGAAGTCAACAGGCCATTGGGATGAGTCTTATCGCCATGCCCTGTTCAGCAGTTTAACTTCTGCTAGACGTTTGCTGATCATGGTGGCAAAGAAGAGGCCAAAGAGTACACTGCTGATTAATATATAGTCATAGTCATCCTTAAGGACGTCAAATTGCTTGGAGGGGAACACTCTGGTCTGGTAGATGTCAAGACCATACACAACCACCTATAGGATAAAGTAATTAAATGGAAATTATTTAGTGTGACTATAGACATTCATGTCATTGTTATTACATTATACAGAGCTTCAATTAAAGAGCCCCTATCATAGCATTTGAAATGTTCCTATTTTTGTTTTAGGAGTTCCCAAAAACAGTTTAACGTGCATGCAAGGATAAAAAACACTGTATTTGTCTTATAATATGCATTTATTTTTAACTGATTTGCTCAACGACTCCCAAATGATTCGTTCGACGATTCATTTTCCCAAACACCTCCTTTGAGTGACGCGAATCTGCGGTGATTGGTGATTGGTCAAATGACCCAGTCAGTTGTTATTGGTAAACCGTAGGCAGAGATTGTCGGCAACGGAACGCCCATAACCAGGATTATAGCTTGTCAAGTGTTGAAAATTGTATATAGTGTTTGAACAAACGTGTCAGAAAAAGTGCACTTTCCACACGGTCCCTTACTTGCGTCTCCGTCAAGAGCGAGCTTTCCAGCGAAACTCACATTGCGGCGGCTTTTGAGGGGTAGTGCTTATTATATAGAGCGAAGTCATATTTGGCTAAGTCGTTTAGGAGGTAATTGCCATTTTTCAATGAATGTCTGGTGAATATAAAAAACAAAACTAACTTTACCCCGCTTAGAAGCTGCGCGGAGTGTACAGAAAACATAACAGCAAACATTATTAATAATACTTACAGATTGTGATTCGGAGGAGGACGAACCTGATCCATATACACTGGATACTGAGCCCTCCTTCAGGAACAACCGGCATGCGAATCCACATTTGAATTCATTTAGGTTTTTGAATTTTGAATGATTCGTCATTAAAATGATGAGAACACAAGGTTTGGGCGTTGCAAATATGAATTCTGACCACTGATTCTTCACATGCTCGTCCCTGGACAATTGAAACAAGTGGCTGAACTGTCTTTGCAATGTAGAACACAGCGTCTTCTCGACATGATGCGATTCAGCTGAAGTATTTGAATGTGTTGTCAAGTTTACACTTCCGTATGCGCGCGCAGTTGTTGGGAGCGGCCAATGACCTCTCTACGTCACGATGTAACAGCTAATGACTCGTTTCAAAAACAATTCATTTCATAGACTCAAGAGTCGACTCTCACTTTTGACAGACAATAACTTTATATACGGTGCACTTTCAGATGCAGGATGTTTTCATTGCCTTAGAGCTATAATCCACACCACATGAACAGTCATTTTCAAAAATCCATGATAGGTGCTCTTTAAGACTAATCATACTAGCATAAAGTTACTTAAAAGGGTTATTCACCCAAAAATGAAAATTATGTCATTAATGACTCACCCTCATGTCATTCCAAGCCCGCAAGAATATCTTAAACGGTGTTCTTGGAACGACATGAGGGTGAGTCATTAATGACATCATTTACATTTTTTGGGTGAACTAACCCTTTAATACTGTGAAAGGAAAAATGGACTAAACTCTGACTCTTACCAAACAGGTAGACTCCAGGCCAGAAGGGGCAGTGTAGATGCCTCTTACTCTTGACACAGTTTGGTTGTAGTTTATAAACCACTCCGTACGAATGGGCATTTCTGGAGCATATGGTATGAGGTTTTCTTCCCTAAATGGTGTGAGAATCATTGTTCAACTTACTCGGCAAAGCAATTTGTTAATCATCCTGATTAAATCATGTGTGTGACATTTTTCTCAACATAGTAAATATTAGGTGAGAACCCACCGACTCTGTTCTGAGATCAACTCTGGTCTCCGTGGGTCCAAAAACATCTTTGGTAAGGATAAAATGTTGCCTGATGGCAGTCCCACTATAAAGAAAAGAGTAACACTTATAGAGAGAACGCAGATATTTGTCTTAAGACCTTTATCTATATACATCTATATATATATATATCATATATACAATTTTTGATTCTTCTCTCTCATTCCCCACATTTTCACACTTACCACAGGAATATTGCTTATTTATGTCTGTTTAACTTTGCTTGTTTAATATCAATGATGCTATAACCCCAGTCTGTGCTTCCATTACTTCCTGGCTAGACTACTGCAATTTTCACTTTTTAGGCTTCCCCACACTACAACAATAAATGAGCTCCAATATATTCAGAATTCTACAGCCAGGGTCCTCACATGTACCAAGAAATCTCCCCACATTACTCCTGTTTTACATAGACTACCGTATTCAATACAAGACACTTCATCACATCACATCACAAGTCCTCTATGGTCTTGCTCCCCATATATTTCTGACCTCATTCATACCCAAGTACACCCATGTCTGAACACTTAGGTCCTCTGAATATGGTCTGTTGCTGGTCCCGTGGCACAAATCGTTTGGTGGCAGGGCCTTTTGTATCTCTGACCCCACCCCCTGGAAATCCATTCCCCAACACATTGACGGCCTCATATGATTACACATTTTTCACCTGATGTTTTTCTGATTCCTAACCTCACGATCAATTTCATGTTATGTTTTGTACACTCAGTATATCTCTATGCCTGCTGCCATGTTCTTGTGTTTTAATATTGTAAAGCAACCCTGAGTTTGTAGAAAGACGCTATATATATATATATATATAAAATAAACTCATTATTACAGAAGATTTTAAAAGGATTTGTCATCTTTCAAATTATGAAATACATATTGTGATGCCTAAATTCACATTTTTGTGTTTTGTTTTTTTTAAACAGTAGTATACATTTATAATATTGTAATAGCAACAACATATAACAACAATAACTGTCAATATCCAAAATGCTCAATACTAACCAAGGAGGTGTCGGCTGGTGATGCCTTTTTCTGTAAGTGTGGCCTCCAAAGTGCTTATGGGAGCAGGAAAGATATACGACTGCTGCAGCACCTGAGGTGGATGTGGTCTGTCCAGGGAGCTGAATACTGTGCTGTTATAAAGCTCTGCTCCCTCAAAGAGCTCCAACACAGAAAACTCATTTCTACGAAACTTGGAGTTCCAGTATACGTACTAGAAGGAAGAAAACACAAAAAGTAGTGTTCAGTTCTGTACCAGAAACATGTATACATCTATCACAGGCATAATAAAAGACAAGAAAAAAAGATAGATAAGCCTGTGTACTTACCACCAACCAGTTTTCAGAGTGCACAAAGTGAACTGGTCCTCTGGCCTTCCGCTGCACTGCCTCATGAACAATACGGCCAGTCACACCATCAATCAGGAAGATTCCAACAAAGCTGCGCTCCTGATGAGTGTCTGTGCTTTCCGTTATCACAGCTAAGAGATTAGGGTTTAGGTACTGCAGAGGAACAACAGGTAAGACAAACAACAGACAGGACATACAATTAGAAATGTGATCTCCTATAGCCAATGAGAGCCATAAAGTCATAAAGGTCAGCAGTACCTTGTAGAGCACGCTTCGATCCCCCATCACTCTGCCCTGGGAATGCACATGCTCATTTGCACGCTTTCCTTTGACAGCCACTATCTTCTGCACCTCAGTGGGGATGACCACCTCCCAGATCAGCTCTGTAGACAAATCCTGAAAAAAAAAAAAAGAGATTCATTTATGAACACCAGCACCAAAAGTGCATTCTATCTGTATGATTGCTGAATGATTCCCAACCATGCGCAGACGAAATCCTGACAGCTTTCCCTGACTGGAGTCCACTAGGTAGAAGAATATGGAGGATGCTGTGTCTTGAAGCTGCTGTAGAACATTCTTGGTAGATGGGAATGCTGTGACCTGAAGGAGAAAATAAAAGAAATAGGTTCTGCAAGGAACACGGAAGGTTTGTCAGAAGGACGGATACCTACCTTGTACTGATCGTCAATAAGTAGAAGGACTTTAGCATAGTCCTGGTCGATGACAGGTAGCAGAAGGGTCTGAAGCACAGGTCGGGATAAAGCAGGGACACTAATGTGACTCTTCTTGCCGAAGATAGGGTTGAAGACATATAGGCTTCCAAGACCCGTGTCCTATAAATACAATCGATTTATAAATTGAGCACAAAAAAGTAATTGTTCACTATTGAATCATCCTATTTAAATTATAAACACATAACTGCCCTAAAATAAACAAAACCAAATTACAAAAATGAACAAGCAACCGAATAGACAAATGAACAAGCAAACAACTTAAGTTACAACATGGCATCATGACTTTTACGTAAACATACACGCCACTTTCAAGTCAAGTGGCGGGTTATCTATACGCATTTTCAGCTATCCGCGTGTATGTCTACGCCTTTAAATGTCCAAGCGAAACGAAGCAAAATGTACATCTACATCTGGGAAGCGATATTTTATTTTCCTAGGATGGTAGGGGAAGACTCATAAATGCTATTAACCCCAGTGATGGGTAGGTCATATATTTATATATATATATACACAGTAATGTAACGTTAAGTCAACGGTGTTCATAAACAAAAATGAAAGCGATTATGCGTGTTAATAGCACGCCAAAAATGGAAATGTGTCATAGATACGCCATTTCATGAGATCAGTCTGAAAGTTAATAAACAAACAAGCAAATGAACAGACCAACATGCGAACGAATAAACAAGCAAATGCACAATTTACAAACTAGCAAAAAAAGACAAATGCACAAATGAGTAAAACTAACTAAAAAGCAAACAAAAAGCTCAAATAAATAAACAAGCTAACAAAAGAAAGCAAAAAAAAAAATGGCATTAGACCGTACAAAAGCGAACTTCAAAATCTTACCTTGTCTTTTATAAGAAGTGTGCACTGTGGAGGATGTGGAAAATGGGCAGTGGTCCTTTGCACTAGGAGCTTGAAGATGGAGTTGGGTTTAATGTCTTTTAAATACTGTTTCCACAAAACGGTTCCTGATTTACTGTCGATGCCAAAGAGCTGTGGAGAAAAACATCAGATGTGTTTGTTTACCGGAAGGACAGCTAAAAGGAAAAAAAAAACAACATCTGTGATTCTGAACTTACTTTTCCAGAGGCAGTCACCATCACCATCATCTTCTGCAGGTTAAACTCATCCCGAGATAGTGCGTCTATGGTGACCTCATTCTTCACGCTGCTGCGAGGCTTCCGGGCATCGTAGAAGAGTTTCCAAAGGTGGGCCATCCAGGCCTGCAGCAGGATAAACTGGGAAGAGAGGCGCTTGAGAACCATGGGTAACAGCCCATCTGAAGGGAACAAGAGATCGGTGATAAGTGTAATGTTTTTGCATTGAAGAAAAAAACAAAACAATCAGCTATAACATTAGTAACATTCTTAAGAGTTAGAGACGCAACCATTGGATAAAATAAACGGGATTAGGAAGAGAAGCAAAATTAAGAGGAAGCTCTCTACTTTACCTTGAATGGCTGGATCCGAGTGCAGCAAGTGCAAAAGAAAACACAGAAAGAAATAAATACAGAAAGAAATGGCACGCCATGGAAAACAGGACAGATGAGTAAGACAGAAGGGTCTTTGTGCTTAGCCAGCAAAAGCAGCAACGTCACAACACATATACATCACAAACACAGGCTTACATAACACATATAGGGTTTAAATCTGAACAGATTTTAAACTTTAAAGTCAACATGAATATCTATATATTCAATATGTTTTAAATTGGTGCATGTATTTTAAAAGGCAAAAATTACTTTCAAATCATTTAGACAACTTTTCATTTAAATAAATTCCTGATGGAGCTGTACTTTTTAAAATTAAACATCTTTAGTAAAACGGCTTTTAAATGACACTTCATGTTGACTTTAAGATGTGTGTATTCATACTGTGAACCAACTTTTCTTAACCTGATTGCTTTAAAATGCCAGGATAGTAGAATGAGACTATAAACAATTTGTTATAAGCAAAAAAGGACATGAACAATGGTTTCCATTTTTGTTGCACATTACCAGCTTTCTTTCCAAACTCTCCCTCCAGCTCTGCTTGTGTTCCAGTTAGTGGCAGATCAACCATCTCCATGGTGACCACATCAGCCAGGGCCTCCTCCCTCATCCAGACTACCCTGCCTATAGTAGAACACCAAAATCAACCGCATGCCTTTTGTTGTTTATATGAACTCTTTCCCCACCATTGACAATATTCCGTCATTTATGAGACAACACACTGATAGAAATATATGGTAGGGGAGCACTATTATGCATCTTCTGAAATAGTACCGAATTTCCTGATCGAAACAGGCAAAGAAGCAGACACAATTGATCAAATCATTGCTTATGAACACTGCAGTCTTTGAAAGAAAATAACAAATTCTAATAATGTAGCTTTTTTTTACGAAACTTACCCACATTCAAGTGTTGATAAAAAAAAAAAAAATGCATGAAGCTACAATAAAACCTTTTGTTTTGTTTAAAAGCAGGGGCTTTGTTCTCTCTTTCGATATATTGTATGTTCAACTATTCACAAATTATAGTTATCAAAAATGAAATAAAAAAAAAAAAATTATCAAAAATGCTAGCAGTGGCTGACAACTTAAATTTATATTTGATATATTATTTCCTCATCATTATTAATAGTAATATCATATTATTAATAACATCATATTTCTCTGAAAAATATAATTATTAGAATTTTATGGAGGTCCAGGAGAGCCACTTAAAAACAAAATGAAGAAATCATTTATCAACATTAATTCAATAAAAATTTAAATAAGTCAGTTTCAAATTGACAAATCAGTGTATTGACTTAAAGCAGTTTATTTAATTTGAAAAAAAAAACATAGTTAAAATGTAATAAAATAAAATATTTTAAATGCACAAACTAGCTTTTTTTTTTTTTTTTTTTACAATGAAAAATTTCTAAATACATTTGTCAGATGCATATATGTGACCTTGGACCACAAAACCAGTCACATGGGTAATTTTTTTAAAATTGAGATTTATAGAAAGCCGAAAAAAGAATAATCATTTCATTGATGAATGGTTTGTTAGGATAGGACAATATTTGGCCGAGATACAACTATTTGAAAATCTGGAATCTGAGGGTGTCAAAAATCAAAACATTGAGAAAAATCACCATTAAAGTCAATTTATGTTCTTGATTGTGTTGCATTCACTCACAAAAATAAATGTTTTATACATTTACGGTAGGGATTTTACAAAATATCTTCTTGGAACATGACCTTTAATTAATATCCAAATGATTTTGGACGTAAAAGAAAAATCTATAATTTTGACCCATACAATGTGTTGTTGGCTATTGCCACAAATATACCCGTGCTACTTGTGACTGGTTTGTGATCCAAGGTCACATATATGAATTAAATAGTTTTTAAATAATTATTTAATTGTAATGCATTGGAATTAATAAATGGGTAAATAAGTGAGGCACTCCTCGTCCTACATAGTGTAAATCATACCAGGTTGCTGTAGAAAGGTGAGTGTAAGGTCTTCCGTCTGGACCATGGCTCTGTAGCCCACAGAGTCATCTTTCTTCAGAAAGGCGTGGACATATAACTAAAGGACAGACAAACCAAAATTATCTACAACACAAATGAATGGCCTATAATCGTTCAAGCTCATATTCTTCAGCATCAGTCCTCACTCTGTTCGGCTTTCCTCCATTAGGGTCCATGTGGTAGATGATGGTAGTGTCAAGGTGCCTTCGCCCTGTGTCAGCACTAAACAGATTAATGCTGCAAGCCTAGAGTAAGAAAAACAAACCATTAAAATACATAGAATATAAACATAGACAGACACTTTTTGTGTTGAGTTTTTGAAATGCGACTCACAGTATCATTCTTTGGGGTCATCACAGCAGCAACCGTCTTCTCTCCAGATGTAGCAAAAGCTACCAAATTTGACTGAAATATGAAGAACATTGGGATTTAAGTCTTTAAATTAAGAAAAATACTAAATATATTTAAGGAATTTAAGGGTTCTGAGTCTACATTCACACTGTCCATTTTTGAGATTGACAACCGCATTTACTTAAGGGTGCAAGTCTCAAAATATCCCATTCACACTGCAACTCACACGAGCATCTTGAATACTGACTGTATGAAAGTCAATTGGAGTCAAGCCCGTATTCTCTCAACTATCACACAAAAACACACGCTTGTGCAATGTGTTTGTGTTCTCGCATTGTATAATTGACTTCATTGGGAACCACAATGAATAAGGGTCTTGTCTAGCGAAACGATCGGTTATTTAAAAATAAACAAAAATGTTTTAGTTTTATAAGCACAAATGCTCGCCTTGCTCTGTTCTGTGATGAGCGTTCGTGACTCTCCTGTTCAAACTCGTTCATCAAAATGAACAAATCTTTTTTCGAGTCATGACACAAAGGGTCCTAGATAAGACCCTTATTCATCGTCTGGTGTCGTTTAAAGCCCTTTGAAGCTGCACTGAAACTCTCATTTGGACCTTGAAGCGTTTGGTTCCCAATGAAATCCATTATATGGAGAAAATCCTCGAATGTTTTCACCAAAAACCTTAATTTATTTTCTACTGAATAAAGGAAGACACGGACATCTTGGATGACATGGGGGTGAGTAAATTATCATCAGTTGTTTTTTTTTAAGTGAACTACTCCTTTAAGGACTCAAATACAGGACTCACAACCGTATTCTGTTGCTGTGCTAACCAGGCCTCAAAAACCAGCAAAAAAAAAAATGGGCTCACTCTTAGCAGAATCAGCATTTTGACATTTCTGTTCATGCATTCTTTCTGAAACATTACATTACAAAAACTGTTTGACTAGAAAAAAAAAAAAATACTGTCAGATGATGACATTCTAATAACTGACAAAACACAAAGATCCAACACTTGCTGTGAAAAACTTGATTTTGGTCAAATGTTAATAACATTGACACATGCAAGTGGCCACAATACTAAACTTGTTTAATTATTAAAAAAACTTTTTTTCTTCCACTTTCTAAAAAGTTGCGGTTCTGCAGCATTTTTCACTAGTTTCAAAACACTCCACACTGGATATTACCAGCCATTCATTTCCACTTTATTAAATGTAATACTTTAACGATTGGTAACATATCCTTGTATTGGAAAAACCTGAGATCCAAAAGCAAGGCCATTGCCAAGCGAAGGGATTTTATGCATGATGGAAGCACCAATGTCACATTTGCATAGGCAGTACTATATAAATTCATGTTTGTTTGCCAGCCAAATTAAAATAATTAACAGAATGATAAAATAACATTAACCGGTTAATGGTCCTTTTAAATAAGCGTTTCTACTCAGAAAGATTAAAATTGATTTTGTTTTCATTTTCAATTATGTTCCTGTTAATTTCATTCATTTCCAGTTTTCATTTTCGTACCCTGGTGCGAAAGTGGCCTTAGATGTGTGAGACATATCAGTTCTTACTGGATTGAAGTCTCGGAGCGGAGAGATGAGGTCATCTTTAAGCTGCAGAAGGATGTGATGATCTGGACTGAGCTGAAGGAAAAACTCAGCGAGAGGAGGTTGTGCCGGATTGGGTTGAGTGGATGTCAGAACAGGCTGGAATCCAGATGCCACCTCCAAATCTAGCGTCTTTTGGGGGGGAGAAATCCGTTATATTACAGAAGATTGAGGAATCACTGTACGTTACACACAAATGTAGTGACGTCTGCACCTGGAGGTGGATCTGTCTCATTTCTGTGTGTTCTGCAAACTGCAGTGGTAGAGTGTACAAGGACTGTGTGATCTGATCCACACACAGTAGGTTCCCTGAGCTGATGACTGTGCAGCTGTTCTCCAAGCTTGACATCCATGCGGCTTCAACTGATTTCTACGAAAAGAAAATGTGTGATTGATTGACTCTCTCACAAAGAAAACTCAATTTATTTTTATATAATTATGTATTGTCACATTATACACTACCATTTACAGTTTTGGATCATAAGAAAGTCATCCCGTGTTCACCAAGCCTGCATTTTATTTGATCAATATCCAGTAAAAACAGTAATATTGTGAAATATTACTACAAATTAAAATAACAGTTTTCTAATTGACTACATGTTAAATGTAATTTATTCCTGTGATGCAAAGCTGGAATTTCAGCATCATTGCATCAGTCTTCATTGTCACATTATAATCATGTTGAAACATGGTGGAAACTATGATACATTTTTTTCAGGCTTTTTTGATGAATAGAAAGTTCATAAGAACAGTAATTATTTGAAATGTAATTTTTTGTAACATTATACATATCTTGACTGTCACGCTTAATTGAACATATCCTTGCAGAATAAAAGTATTCATTTCTTTAAAAAAAAACAAAAAAAAAACAACAACAAATCTTACTGACCGCAATCATTTGAACAGTGCTGTAAACTGTAAAAATACCTTGTTCATGATTTCTCCATCTTCAATTTTGTATTCAACAATAACAATATGGGAGCTCGGCACAAATCCCAAAACAAACACCAGTCCATTCCCACCAGAATAAATAGTTTGATACTGAACAGTGTCACTGTAGGATGCAAAAAGATGAAAAGTTGTCGAGAACTAGAACTAATCTATAGCAGAGTATTTTTACAGCAATCAGAATAATCAGAAATAATTGCAATATAAAGTAAAGCTGTTGCAGGATTTGTCATCACCTGTCAGGTAGGTTTTCCACCCATATCTGACTGCCACTTGAAAGGTCATGGAGAGAGATAGCAGATTTTTTCAACACAGCAACAATCTTCACAAAGTCTTGAACTCCAATTAAGGCAGCGGCCTGAAAGCTGTGGTCAAAAGAGAACACTCAGTTTAATGTGTCAGTTAAACCTAACACGGTCACAATAAAACATACACATAATAATACAACCTCCCAGTATCAAGCACTGCCTCCCACTTCAAGCCACCGACTGTGGTCTCCCAAGAGCGAAGCAGACGGCCATTCCCGACAACAACAACAGCATCTAAGAGACAAGAATCATTTAAGAGCCAAAAAAACAAGTCCAATTTCACAATACACACACTTTTTACCAAATGCTTACCTTGTCCATACATAAGCAGCGCATCAATATGGCCCTCTGGTCCAGTTTTATCCACATGACGCCAGACTGCAAGAATTAAAAACATTTCACTAACACTATTAAATGAATGGACGATCATACAAAAAAAATAAATCAATTTCCTTTGCATTTTTAATTAACAAGTTTATTTATGTAGGCATATTTTAACATCAATTATGCAAACCTCTCCACCTAGATTGTTTTGATTATGATTCAGTGGATAAGACACATGCCTTTGGTGTGAGATACCCGGGTTCGAATCCACTGTGAGACACCAAGGTGTCCCTGAGCACCTCTGACATATATAGCAATTGTAAGTCACTTTGGATAAAAGCGTCAGCTAAATGAATAAATGTAAATGTAAAATGTAAATACATTTGGTATTCATAAATACCAGATAATAAACTCATTCATAAAACCAGTAAGAAACAAGGTACTATTGTGATTATTTCTGTTGGTTTATAACTATACCATACACAATAACAAACCCACAACCCTTAAATGTAGAGTAAATTAGTAGAACATGCAAAGAGATTCAAAGAAGAGGTTCACAACATTAGACCAAGAAACATCATATTTGATCTCAAACAAGTTAATATATTATAATCAAAAGTTGTATTGTCTTTTTGAAGCAACGTCATTATAGACGCTGATTCAGACTCAGTCTGATAAACAATGAGGCGTATGAAAAAAAATGTAGAGGGAAGATAAAAACATTTTCACCGCAACTTCTATACACAAAGCCCACATAATATTTAATGTGCAAAATGAGCGCAACGACTTACATAGGTCTCCAGTCCTTGAATTGAGTGAAGCAAACACGTTCTTGTCAGTTGCCACCAGGAGCTTTTTAGACGCTTGCGAATGAGTGTCAAACAGGGCAAAACGCACCTTGCCGACGAACTGTTCCCTCCTGAAAGAAATCGCAGTGAGTTGAGAGTAATGTTAACAATCAGCCCGGTGTAGCTGCCAACAGTCAGCAGGCAGCCTGCTTAAAGTACCGGCTGCTTTTACACTCGCAGAAATCCCATAATGGATTACACGTGAAACCAACACACAGGTACAAATCCCGTTTACATACCAATCAAATTTTCCAACTTGGTCTTCAAATACCGCCGATGCAGTATAAAATAAGGACAGCGATATTGCTAATCTGACTACAAGCCAAGCCATTGCTGCAGAGGAACAACTCCCACAATGCTCTGCGGTTAAGGACCCAAACAGCCAACCTTTAATAAAATATTACAAGAGGTTTGTGAACTCTCTGTCCATTCTATCTGATATTATATTTTAGTTTAATTATAGAAATACGAAAAGTATTTCTAAATGTAATTACATTTATCGGGGAGAACCGCAGCTCAACAAATTAACATCAGGCATATTCGCGTGCTGCCTATGACTGGATTTATTGGGTCATGTGGGTCATGTAGACAGTTTTTAAACTAATACTACTTGCAGAATCATCAAGAAGTTGTTATTATTGGCGATATTATGAAAAGCCAAAAAAAAATATTTTAAAGCAGAAATTACAAAGTGTGCCCTCCTAACGTTTATTAACATTTCTTTTTGTATAAATTATAATATTACATTATTTTACTCCATAAATATGAAATTTAAATTAATTCGTAATGAACGTTGGAACCTGAAGTGTGAGGTTTTTAATTGCCGTTTTAACTAGCAGTGTTACGGTGCTGTTTAGGCCATTAGGTGGCAGCACAATATAAAGTCAATTTCAGTCAATTTAAAGTTTGGTTTTTACCTTACATACGCAGATGCTCGATGTTTGCTGCATCCCGATTCTGTTTTATTGCTAAACTCATTTGCAACGTTCAATGAACATGTTTGCAATGCATGTGAACAAAAAGTATAAGTAAAAAAAATAAAATAAAACAGGACTACAATTGTTTAGAAAGATGGACAAAAACTTTGCTCATCATTACATAAACTAAAATAAAAATATCGCCTGCATGCAACACGTTACTGTAAATGCTATTTTAGTAAACACTCTGAACTGTACCAGACATGCAGTTCCAGCTATTTGCTGGCTTACAGATGCAACCTGAACGCTCTCAGTTGAAGCAGTTACGCTCATTATTCTAACCTAACTGAACGCTTCTGGTTATCAAGCTTCCCAGACAGCAACATACTTTCGGCCCAGATCCGGCCCACATCTGAGCTGTGTGGAATCCAGGTGTCAGCCCTACCAGATGTGGGCTGGATCTGGGCCAACTCTATGGTGTTGTCTGGTTGTTTACACCGGCTTCGAACGCGGCTCATCCAATTTAAAATTAAAAGTTGGAATGATCTGAGCGATTGGACAAGCGGGGTTCCAGTGTTTTGCGCACTACCCACTGTTGGAACGTGTTTGGTAGCCTAGGCTACTAGCTTGTGAGTAAGGAAATGTAAAAGTCATGCATTGATTTTGGAAATAGGCTACATAACATTTTTCATTTTATTACATTTTACATTTAATTTATAGTAGATTTATATATATTTATATATACAAAATTCTTGCTCGTGGGATATTGCTTAAATCATCCTGAATCACAGTTCTTCCGTTTTAGAGTTTTTTTTTTTAAATAAATAAATAAATAAAATAAAAAATAGGCTAAATAAATAAATAAATGCCGCGTTGTCTTTCCTCAAAAAGTCTAGCGTGTAAGTTGAATGACAAATATGCGCATTACTAATGAGTCTCCCAGCAGCGCTCACGATGAGCCCCTTAAATGATTAACAGTGGTGGTCAGCATGACTTCTCTTATAATGAGAGGAAGAGTGCTGCATAAATTATAAATAAATGCTTCACAAATGATCTCTCAATCTTCGTACGACACTTGCAGTCCCGTCCCGCCTCTTGAGATAAAGCGCACGGACCTCTCTTGCGTTGTGTGCCAGAGAGAGAGAGAGAGAGAGAGAGAGAGAGAGAGAGAGAGAGAGAGAGAGAGAGAGAGAGAGAGAGAGAGAGAGACGTCTCACATGTGACAGTTCTTCATTCCTAGATAGGTAAGACACTTGGCACGTTGATGAACGTCCTATTAGACCTGCTCGCACTTCAAGGGACAGCTTCTTTCAGATCAGGAGAGCAGGACGCATTTCCAGTTTCTCAGAACTCCAGCGTGCTTTTTGACAGCTGACAAGTTACAAACACACTCCCGACGCACGAGCTCGCTTTACTCGATAGAACTCGGTAAAAACGCGTGGACCGTCTGAAAGTCTTGATGGAGATGAAGGTGTTGGGATGCGCGTTGCTTTTTCCTTTCCAGATCTTCTTGTGCTTATTGAGGGCGATCGTGCGCTTCTTCGCGCAGCAGAAGCGCAGAGATCTGGGCACCGACGTGGTCCTCATCACTGGAGGTGGAAGAGGAATCGGCCGTCACCTGGCTAAAGAGTTTGCCAAGCAAGGGGCAAGAAAGGTAAATCTAATGCGATTCTTTATAATGTTAACTACTCGTTTTACTTTGTAAAAAATATTTTGAGTGCTGTCTATTTCGGTGTGCAAATTTTACAAAGGATCACCTATAGCCTATACTTGAAAGGAATTACAGGAATTATGTTAATTAAAATGATTGCATGATTTTCAATGAGCAATCTGAGGTTTGTCTCGCGCAACACATACTAATACTGCGATTATCTAAAAAACATATATTTATAGGCTATATATTTCTAAAACTCTAAAGCAGTTTGACGTATCTGCAGATCTTAAATAAAATGATACATTATGAGGCTACTTGTGATACTTTATATGTGTAACTCCGACACTGATCTTAATGAGAGCGTTTGTTTATTGTTTCAGCATTAAGATACTGACAATTAAACAGGATCATTAAGGGTTGTTAACCTGATTTACTCACCTTTTTGGCTCTGCAATCATGCCTAGACTTTGAAAAGGTGGAGTTTGTTCTGATGGGGCACAGACAGTGTGTGTGTGTGTGTGTGTGTGTGTGTGTGTGTGTGTGTGTGTGTGTGTGCGTGTTAGTCAGTGTAGTCAACAGAAGGTACAGTGACCTGTAGCTGCCCCCATGTGAAGCCTTAAGTTCTGTTTCATATTCCTCCTGCGCACAAACACAGGTGTTTCCTAAGCCTTTATGTCTTTACAAAATGCCCAACAATGGGCTGCTGACAGGCAAGGCTGTTTTGTAGAACTCAAATCATGTGTGACTCTTTAACCTTCCAGGGAAGTTCATACTTCCCTGTCCCGGGTGTGTGTGTGTGTGTTATTGGCAATGAATATAAAAAAAAAAAACTCATATCTATCCTTTCAAGAAGGAAATCCATAGACTGTAAAAAGAAGAAAACCTCAATAACACTAAAGCACAAGCATCAAGTGTCAGGAATAGCTGCTAGTGTGCGTGTGAGGGAGTGAATGTGTGTATATGTGCTGCATTCATGTGTGTGAATGTGCGCCCAACATGTGTAGGTGTGTGAATGGATCGTTTGCAGGGGGGTGTAGTAGGCAGAGAAGCACCTTGCAGATTGGTTACCTCAACCAAGTTCATTGGCAGGTCAGCCAGCTTTTTGCAGAGCAGCGCTGATGATGTCATTTGTGTTATTGTGTGGGCTGAATCCCAGAGGAAAAGAATCAAATGGAAAGGCAATAGACAGGGAAACCCTCTGGATGGCGCAGTGGATAAGACACATGCCTTTGGTGTGAGATACCCGGGTTCGAATCCACTGTGAGACACCAATGTGTCCCTGAGCAAGACACTTATCCCCTAGTTGCTCCTGAGGCGCGCAATCTCTGACATATATAGCAATTGCAAGTTGCTTTGGATAAAAGCCTCAGCTAAATGAATAATGCAAATGGGTTTTATTTTTTCCATTTTATCTATTCTTTAAACTGATTGTCCAATGCAGGGTTGCAGGGATGTTTCTCAGGCCATAGGGAAACACTCTGGGTGGATTTTTATTTAATTACCGCAAGTATTTTACCGTAATGCAAAACATTATACATTATTAAATTGCAATGAGAATTTCACGTATAGTGATAATATGTGTGGAATGTGACAATGCAACAAAAAAAAAAAACTAATCGTAAATCATTTTTTAAGAACTTTTGTCTTCATCTGGTGTGGCCCGGACATGTTCTTGACAGGTTTTGTGAGATTTCCCCACACTAAAGCCTTGAATACTGAAGGGTTCCTCATAAGGTCAGAACATGTGACCGTTTTATGTGTGTATGTTTGTTTATGAGGCAGATTGGGATTGACAGGATGGGGAGGGGACGGGCTCATGCTTGTGTTCATTACCTCTTGCTGACCTTGCTGAGTGATGGATCTAATAGCCAGAGAGTGAACTGACCCTGTCCTCTATCACTCTCACTCGCTCTCCCTAAACCTTGTGTACAATAATATGATAAGGAAATACTTTATTCAGTAACTCCTCAGAGAACTCAGCCTATACATTCATCAATGTGTGGCAATCATGCAGGCCCTGTAAAGGCCCTGGGGCCAGGTATATCCAAAGGAGATCATTTTTGCTAAATATATGCACTATATTCCATATTATAATTTTACTCATATCATCAAAATATTATGTTATTATCAAAACCGCATTTGTTCATTTTAACCTTTTATAATAAAACCAACACCCTGTAGCCTATATTTACAGCATTAGGGAGAGATTTGTCCTTGAGAAAAATTAACATGTAGCTTTATAAGGTAGCCTACCTGATATTTATCCAAATTAATTAATATAAACGTTGTTACTAAACTTAATGAAATTCTTTTTGGTCAGCAAATGTTTTGAGAATCGCAATGATGTATATTTATAGGGTGCCTGCTGAACATGGGTTTGAGCTCTTATATTTCTCAACTCTAAAAGTTCAGATTAATGCATTTAACTTTAAAATGTAGACAACTTTTCTTGCCCCTGGATCTTAAGAGCTGAGGTCCACCCCTCATTAGGGCTGTCACTTTAGAGAAAAATCTAATTCGCACTGATATCAAATATCAAGCAATGTATTCGAAATCGAATATCTACTTTTTTATTTGATCTATATCTTACAGTCCTTCAAACAGCTGTAGAGTGAAGGGTGTACATTTTTACTTTTTACAGTTCAATTTGAATAACTATGCTAGAACTTACTCTATTGCTCTCTCTAGGCCCATTTTGTGGGATCATTTATAATTAAGCAATAAAACATTATGCAAATGAGGCAAATAAAAAATTAGGCAATGTATAAAAATGTCATCTCACTTCAACTTTCCAATACTTTTCACACAGAAGAGTGACAATAATTCTATAAGAGGTTTTGGGGCCTTCATATTCACATAGGGCCCAACAGTAAGTTCCAGGGGGCCCTCGGAGTCCAAGAGCCTTGTTTAAGAGGCCTTGTGTAGGCTATGGGACACATACAGTATATTACATAATAAACATTTGTTTTCATTGTTAATGGGTTTTCTGAACCAAACTGGATTGCACAGCCCTAAACCTCCCAAGTGCCCCTGGGGACTGGCCCCATAGGCCCGGTCAGTAATCATGCATAATGCATCATAGAGTTGGAGAGTGTTGTCCATCAGCTCACAATGTAAAAAATTCCTCTTTCTGTCTTGGAAAGTCTACATGATGTTCTGCATTCGCTTTAAACCAATCATGTCTTTCCTCCCTCAGGTGATTTTGTGGGGACGCACAGAGAAATGTTTAAAAGAGACCTGTGAGGAGATCTGTAGGACTGGAACAGAGTGTCATTACTTTGTGTGCGACGTGGGCAACAGAGAGGAGGTGTACCAGCAGGCCAAAGTGCTCAGGGAAAAGGTACTTACACTCTGCATGTCTTCTTATATTAATAACCCTGTCTCAAACAGCTAGCCTTGCGGCTTTTGCTCAGGTACGTCGATCCATAAGAATGTAGTGTCTCATTTGTCATTTTAGGTTTCCGAAAGGTGCTCACTAGTGCCCCCTCTGTGGCCGCTAGTGGCTAGGCTAGGGATTTTCAAATCTGTTGATGCCAAAACCCACCATAATGATCTCCTTGCAAGGAATCCATTTATGTTGTTTTCTCAATTAAATAATTTGATTGAGTTATTGAGTTATTTTATATTATATTATTCATATTTATATTATTATTATGTTTTTTTCTTCGATGCCTTAGTGTCTATTGTGGTATCATGCTGTATCCTAAATTAAGAAATTGCCTTTTTTTAAAGAAATTTTATTTTATATTATATCATATTTATTATTATTATTTAGTTTGATTTAAAAATATATTTTTTTTATATTTTTCTCTGCTTTGGTAAACATATTTGACATTTAAAAAAACAAAAAAATAACTTATTTTTATTATCATATTCTTTTGTATCTATTTTGGTGCTATTATGTTGTTTCCTAGATTTCAATAAACAATTTCTTGACTTATATTATATTATTTACATTATTCTAATTATTATATTTGATATTTTATGTATTTTATTCTATTTTTCTCGTTCATTTTCCTTGTAACAGAAATAAAATGATAATTTTACTCGTCCACAGGGTGAAGTTTGCTCTAAATGAATGCAATGTGGTCTCACACAGGTTGGGGATGTCACCATTCTCGTCAATAACGCAGCTGTTGTTCATGGGAAAAGTCTACTGGACAGTGACGATGACGCACTCCTGAAGACCCAACACATAAACACACTTGGACAGTTCTGGGTAAGAGACTATTCAATTTCTTGACTTACTCGCTGCTCTCATGACTGTCAATTTATTATAGCGCAGCCCTACTACAGTAACCACGCTTTGAACCTAACATGAACTCTAGATACTCCGTTGTGTTTTGCAGAACATTTTTCAATTACTTAACGTTAAGTCACTTGGCATGCTGTAATTCTTGGAAGCGTTCCTCATTCAAAGTGTGTTTTTTGCCAAGAGAGAAAAAGTAACAACATTCCTCACATAGAACAGTCAGAGACAAAACTACAAGAGATGTTCACAAACAAAAGCAAAGAACTTGGGGAAAAGTGAAAGTTAAAGAGTTTGGAAGATCTAGGCTACAGTCGTGGATTTTAGGACAGAACGAGAGCTGATCATCTAAAGCTTCAGCTGCAATAGTAGCTCACGCTGAGGATTGCTGTTATATATTGCGATAATTTCAAACACATGGCGTTTGCAGAATGCCAGTTTTAAATAGAGGTTAGCATAGAAGCCATCAGATCAAACACTGAATGTGGGCTCATATTTCTGCTGAGCCGGTCAAAATATGCTTGTTGACTTTCACCCAAGGTAGCCCAGAGAATCCTAGACAATTAACACATTCTTGACCTCGGAGTTCTGAAGCTTTCATTGTTGTTGTTGGATTTTCCAGAAGATGGTTGAGGGAACAGAACAATGCGTAATTGTGTCTGTCTCCCCCACAGACCACGAAAGCGTTTCTGCCTCGCATGCTGGAGCTGTGCAACGGCCACGTGGTGTGCATTAACTCCATTCTCTCCCTGTCCTCCATCCCTGGAGCCATCGACTACTGCACGTCCAAGGCCTCCTCTTATGCCTTCATGGAAAGCCTTACGCTAGGCCTGCTGGACTGCCCTGGAGTGGGCTGTAGCACAGTGCTTCCCTTCCACACGGACACAGAGATGTTCCAGGGCATGAGAGTGAGGTAATGAGCTGCTTTTGAAGCTGATAAACCAGACCCAGGTGGAATTCAAGCGCTTCATTATTCATGAAATCACCTCTTAGGTTCCCTAAGCTGTTTCCTCCTCTGAATCCTGAGATGGTGGCCGAGCGCACTGTGGATGCAGTTAGGACCAACACTGCCTTCGTTGTCCTGCCATGGACCATGCACTTTCTTGTTATCCTTAAGAGGTGAGAATGTCACTGTTGTAGGAATCAGGGCAGAATTACACTTTGTCTTTATTATTTAATGACTTTAATGACTATTACGTCAGAGCTGATGGGTGGTATGTAGCACAATCGTGCTTCGGGCGACCCGATTTCGAATCCCAAACCCGCTCCGCAATTCTCTCTCTCACATTTTGCGTCCTGTCCTACTGTGCGATCTGAATAAAAGCAAAAATGGCTCTTTTTAAAAAAGAGTTTCTTTGTTCTTGCCTATTTCTAAGTTTACTACCAAATTTAATGTGTTCATTTTATAGATCTTACCCGCCAGAGAAACATGCTATCTTTAGAATTTTGCCTTTGAACCTCTTTTTGCGGAATCTCTATATTTCTGTTGCATCGCTGTCGAACTGTATTTAGCTGGTAAAATGGATTGACTTAAAGGAGAACTCTGGTCAATTTTAACATTGAGCTCATTTTTTTGTTCATTTGGAGTGCTGTCAGTACAGACAAAAACGACAAAAATCGGTGTTGCCTACACCGTGTTATCGTCTTTTTAAAGTTCGCACCCTGTTGACTTCAATTGGGGCATGTTCTAAATCTGCTTTATAGCCTCTTAACATCCTTGATTTGTCTTTACGAGTGCACAGCCTTGTGAGTCGTGTTATTGAGAGTGATCATGGTCAATCTGACAGCAGTAGATGTGAAAGATATGAATAAAACTGATGTTAATTCAGCCAGCTCACATACCTCTATTTGCTTCCTGTTTACGGTCAAAGCCCACAGTAGTCGATTTTCGATCTCATGCACGTGATCATTAGTGAATATCATCTCAAACCTCATCCGTGTGTTCAACATCTGATTTGGATGAACTATCCATTTGAGCTGATATTCTCAGAAGAACACCACACAGTGGTAGGTCCAAATGTACAAAAAGTTACCGAAAGTTATCATGTAATGTTTGAAGCGGATATCATAAATGTCAGCAGACTGGGAAGAAATAAAAATAAGCGGTTCATTCATAAATCCATAAGATCTTACTTTCATGCTGTAGAAATACAAACCAGAAGACTGAACACAATGAACACAGCGCTGAAAAGTAGTGGGGCAACATACAGTCTAGATCTCAGATATATATATATATATATATATATATATATATATATATATCTCAGTCAAATGCGGTCTTACTTTTTGACCCCACATTTTTATTACATAATTCTGCAATTTAATATTTAGCAAATAACTTCCTTTTTTCTTCTTCTTCCTTCTCAGCCTTTTGCCACAGCCTGCCTTGGAAGAGATCCACAAGTTTTCAGGAAGCTACACCTGCATGAACACATTCAAAGGACGGACTTAAACTCAGGAACAGCTTGACTGTGAAAAATCATCAAAACCAATTTTTCATGCAAAGCAAGCGCTATGTCCAGGAACATCAATCTTTTGCTTGTAGACGCGAAAAAAAAAAAAAAAAAAAGACTGAAAGGGTCACTGGGAACAGCGTATCAAGATGGCTTGTTTTCCCAAGAACTATGTCTGCGAGTCTTACGTAGATGAATTTGGTTGCCCTATACTGGACTGCACACAGGCATGTAGGTGAAAGTGTTTCTTGGATATTGTGATAACAAAGAGCACGGACTGATAGAGTTAAGAAAGAAATGGTTCTTAGAACGCTCCGAGGTTTTCATCAGGGTTTTTTGATCTTGTAATGTCGCCCTTGGAAGTTTTATAGATTTTCACTGATTTTAAGAACATTTTTTTTGTAATACATATACGGCAAATACATATTCTTAAATATATTTCTAATATAGATATTTCAGTACGTTTTAGTTATTGGCCACTTTTTATTTTCTTAATCTAAATACTGTGTATTAATATTGTCCGAAACTTTTTTTTTAAAATATATTTTTACATTTACCCAAAATGTATTTCCTTGCACATTGAAATACCTTTTGGAAATTATTTTGGTTTAAACAAAATTGTATTTTGAATTTGAAAAATTTGATCGTTTTTCTTAAGCGGTGCCGTTTACCTCATACATTTAGCATATATTTGAAATATATTTTGAACAGAAAAATGTTTGGTTTCTTTGCCGTATAGGACATGTTTAAAGTAATTCCAGCATTTTAACGTGAAATTCAAATAAACAGTATTTGATCTTAAAAAAACCCTGGTGAGTGCTATTTTGTGGGTGTTCATGTGGGTTTGAAAACAGGGAAGTGTCGGTCCCTGGCAGTGTGCTTGTCCTGCCTCTGCCAAAACTCACAGGCATTTCATGGTCAGCATTCCACCGTTGCAGGCCAGCCAATCATGAGCTCACTGTGTGCTAGGCAGGGTTGTCATAACACTAACTCCACTTAACAGGAAAGCACACTGGAGAGGGGTCAGCCACTGGTAGGCTAATAGACAAATCTAGAATTTGTCATTTTGTTTAGATTTGTCACCCACATCGAGCTGAATAACTGATGTTCGCTTTTGATATAGCTGTATACCACCAAACAGATGGGTTGGTAAATCAGCGCCTGTTGACAATTTTCTCCAACACCGTGATTTGCCAATTTGGATGCGAGATCTAAGACCGTGTAACCTCATAAAATCAAATTTCCAGGCAGATGTTTTTTTTCTTTCGGCGTCTCTCCTTCAAATTCTTTGCATCCCTGCTTGCGGTATTAGAAGACAATAAGACAATAGAGTGCTATCAAAGCACACTGGGAACTGAAACTGACATACAATGGGCACAAGCAGCTATTGCAATTATGTGATTGCCAATTCACATCACGGTCTTCATTCTACACATTCAACTGCTATTTTGTGACTGAAAGAAAAGGTTGCTTTCTGATAAACTATATAAAATAACTAATATATGAGGCTGGGGGAATAATCACCAAAAAAGATGTATAGCCCAACTGACAAACTGAAGAATGAGTTTTGGCATGTCTAACCGCAATGATGGACACTGTTGAGAATGGGATCAGGACATGAAACTGTGTCATGGAGTGCATGTGTGTTGGAGAAGTCAGCTCAAATCTCAGGGGGTGAGTTCAGAGCAAGGTTAGCCAAATAGTAGATAAATCTGAGTAGGCTGTTGGACAGACAGCTCACCCTGTGATGAACCCTTTACCCAGGGAAAAGAGCAGCTTAATGTGACCAAGCACAGGTGGAAATGTAGAACTTGGTAGTAAGATTATTGATAAGGCACATGGTAACTCGTGCTCAATGTTAGCACTGGCATTGTTGTTCCTTTAGATATACAGAGTTAGGGGTTGCGTGGCCATGGCACATCCATCTTTAACTAATGAGTGTGTCGCCCTTAAGGGAAAGACCTTTCATCTGACATCACACTGTCAGTCAAGAAGAAGAATAGGTTATACTAAGGCCATTTTTTGACTGCCAGCAAAAAAAACAAAAAAAAAACACATAAGGTGGATTGAAATGCGATTCCAATCAGATTTTTACAAATGCGTCGGAGTCAAACAGTCATTTCAGACTGTATTTTAATGCGTCACAACATTAAAACTGGTGAAAAATGCCAGAAGTACTCATACTGTGTTCAAGTGGTGGCTGCGTCTGAAACTGATAAATGAAGCCTTTGGAGGATGCATTCCAAGGTCGGAAGGCATCAAGGCAGACTTCATGTCTCCTGAGATACCTTCATCTGATTGATTTTTGAAGGCAGCATAAAGTTATCATTCGCTGCCTTTGATATCCCACAATCCTGTGCTTTCCATTCTTTGAACGTTGAGCTAGAAAAATAAAGATGGCATCTGAAAGTTGCGACTGGTCATCAGTTTGTGTGTAAATGTACTGTACATTTCTGATCAACGCTGTAAAAAGTTTCTACACTGTAAAAAATTAAATCTTTAAAAACGGTCAATGACTGTCAGCTACGGCTGCCAAACAAAAAGCGTATAAATAAAGTAAAATATCCTAATTTTAATTGTGCAAAAAATATTTTACAGAAAAACACTATGTTACAGCTATCATCTGAATTATTACGATTAAACACCCTAACTGTAAAAAAATCCCATGAAAAACATTCAATGGCTGCCGTACAGAAACAGTAAAATATGCTCATTTAAAGGGTTATGTTCACCCAAAAATGAAAATTAAGTCATTAATTACTCACCCCCATGCTGTACCAACCCCGTAAGACCTTCGTTCGTCTTCGGAACACAAATGAAGATATTTTTGATTAAATTTGAGAGCTGTATAACTACCACATTGGCTCCTAAGGGACTGCCTCTTGACGGCCCAGAAAGTCAATGAAGAAAATGTTTAAATATCCCAAGTGACTACCGTGGCTCAACTATATGTTTATCAAGCGACGCGAATACTTTTTGTGCGAAAAAACAAACAAAAATAACGAGTTTATTCGACTATTTCTTTTCTTCCTTGTAGGCCAGAACGAGACTTCCTTATAGATTTCCCCGACGCATGCGCGAGAATTGCGATCTGAAGTAGTGTAAGCTGGCGTAAGCAGATCGCAAATCTCGCGCATGCGTCGTGGAAATCTAAGGAATTCTCGTTCTGGCCTACAAGGAAGAAAAGAAATAGTCGAATAAACTCGTTATTTTTGTTTGTTTTTTCGCACAAAAAGTATTCGCGTCGCTTGATAAACATATAGTTGAGCCACGGTAGTCACTTGGGATATTTAAACATTTTCTTCATTGACTTTCTGGGCCGTCAAGAGGCAGTCCCTTAGGAGCCAATGTGGTAGTTATACAGCTCTCAAATTTAATCAAAAATATCTTCATTTGTGTTCCGAAGACGAACGAAGGTCTTACGGGGTTGGTACAGCATGGGGGTGAGTAATTAATGACTTAATTTTCATTTTTGGGTGAACTAACCCTTTAAATAACTTAAGTTCAAAATACTTTTTTTTTTAACAGAAATCTTCATTAAAGGGTTAGTTCACCCAAAAATGAAAATTAAGTCATAAATTACTCACCCCCATGGTGTACCAACCCCGTAAGACCTTTGTTCATCTTCGGAACACAAATAAAGATATTTTAGATTAAGTTAAATTTGAGAGCTGTATCACGTTACATACTAGGCTGCCTAGGCTAGGGGATTAAAACTTGACGGCGCAGAAAGTCAAGGAAGAAAATGTTTAAATATTCCATGTGACTACAGTGGCTCAACTGTAAGTTTATCAAGCGACGAGAATACTTTTTGTGCGGAAATAAAACAAAAATAACGACTTTAATCGACTATTCCTTTTCTTTCTTCTGGGCCTGAGACGAGAGATTTCCACGACGCATGCGCGAGCGTCGCGGAAAAGCGAGCGTCGCGGAAATCTCTCTCTTTTTTTTTAACCAAAAAATAACAGATTAATCACAATCGTAAAACACAATAAATGCTAATACTGTGTTAAACCAAAACTTTTATTATTATGCCTTTATACATTTGCATATTACAACAAAATAAATTTACACACTATATTTAATTTGCATATTGTGCAGTTATAGAGGAAACCAGCTTTGTAGGGTTGTATACAACATATCAGTATTTAAATAATAGACAACTTAAAAAACACATTATAGGTGTATTGTTCATATAATCCTAAATTATACTGACCAGTGTTCTCAGAGGCACAGTCACAGAAGTTAAAAATCTTAGTTTTGTTATGACCAGTATACTAGCTATACACATTTAAGATAAGCGAGGAAGGTGACTCTTTAAAGAGAAAACATTTGTAGTGTCTGATCTTTGGTAACAACTTGTAACAAATTAAAATGAATCGTTCCATTCAGTGAAACAATTAATTCCATGATAATGTTCAATTTAAAACGGTGAGTAAAATAAGAAATGTTTGAGATTGGGAAAATTTTAACAGAAGAGATTATTGTCTCTTGATGATGACAAAACTTTATGTTGATTGTGTGACACATAAAGAGCACTAAAGGCAAGAGAATCATAATGGAATGCACTACAGAATAGAATACCATATTTTTATTTGTTGAAATATGTTAAATGTGTTTCAAATGTTAAGCTTGAACCTTTAAAAGATCTTAGGAACAGAATAAAGGAGAAACTAGAAAACTGAAGAAACATTCAGAATTTAAATGTCATTCTTTTCATTAAATTGGATATAGAAAACCCAAGAAAATAAGAAACGGAGAGAATAAAAACACCAGACAGATGTTTTTGAGGGTGGACTGCATATGGAGAGGTGAAAAATGCAATGTCAGTAATTCCAACACTTGCTGTGTGTGTGTGTGTGTGTGTGTTAATGTTGAGTCACCGGTGAATGGTGAGAGCAGCTTAACTTCCCTACATTTGAATCAGTGCAATTCAATCATAACTTCCAACCACACATATTCAGAGCAAAATGAACTTTCCTTTAAAGGCAGTTTTGTACAGCAATCCAAGATTAATTTCATACCATATAATTAATTTCAACATTTTATATACATGGCAGATAGTCCTAATGGTGTGCCTATATATGTACATAGAGGATCTATACACAAACATATACTGTACAGTGTCAGACTAGCTGTGCACATCTAGCGACAAACACCAGTTATTTTACCAATTGTAAAACAAACAAAATCAATTCTACTTCTACGGATTGCAAGGAAACTAAAATACTTGCATATTCAAGTGAAATCTGTGCTTGCCAGAGCTTACAACAGCCCCTCTAGACTAGTTTGAATCACTGAACAAACCACATGCTGTGAGCATGTCCCGTACACTGGCCTAAGTGGATGATTACGCTCGGCTGATTTATTACTGTCCTTTCACAGAAACGGAAAAAAAGGAAGTGGCTGTTGAAAAACGAGCGAGAAACACCTGCGGGTCAGTGTAGTTAAGAGTCTAATAATAAGCTATCCTCATTCTCACTGGGAGGCAGCATGAGCTGCTGTTCATAGTAAAGGCTCTTGGCATAATTGATTTCTTGTGAAATCTTGATGGCAAGGTTCTCGCTTTTCACATGGACCTATGAGAAACAACAAATGACATTTGGAATGGAATCAGAAAAAC